GGGTGGCCATGGCCACCCCTGGCCCCCCATCTAGCTCCACCCCTGGAAAGTACGCGCAAGAGAGCGTGTGGCCATGAACGCGCACGCGATAAAACCAGTGCGCCACGCTGCGGGCTACAGTGATCTCCTGCAGAGGGATATCTGGGAGTGGGAGAGGAAAGAGGCAGCAGTGAGGAGGAGGATTCAGTCGCGGAATTAAGGGACTCTTCTGAAGGGGCATCGCTTCTGAGGTCCGCTGCCTCCTCTGGAACAAACATCATTCCGCATTTCCGTTGGGTGAGTTCATCATCAGCATCCTTTATTTGCGTCTCAGGAATAATAGATACCAATTACAACCAAATATTGGGACCAAGATTTTCCATCAAGATATCAATTCCTGGATAACAATATATCCATCAATTTTATGTTAACATTTTTGTATAACAAGATAACATTTTCACTTTGAATATCAGATATATAGATTTTCTTTCCTATATCATAAAAAGCTTCTGTGTTACTCAGAATGATATTTATCAAAAGGCGCTGAACTTCTCTTGAGCACAGCCAGTTGGACTCCACGGCAGATGTGGAGACAAAAGGAGTAACCGAGTGAAAAACTGAGACAAAGAACGTTAGAAAATAGTTTTGCTTCAGCAGCTGTGGCAGCTTCCCTCCACAGTTCCATTTTTTTTTTTATAAGGAAATATTTCAAAAAATTATATTTGTTGTAACGTGACAAGCAATTCGCTTCACCTAGTAGATATGCAGAACCTAATATTTGGATATATCTATATTTTTTATATTTGTTTTGATTCAGCATCTGATTCGGATGAAATCTTCCCCTCCTTAAGGATGGATCACGCTCTCCTGACCCGGTCCATTTGGTCCAGTGACGCTAAATTCCTGCAGCATCCAACAGATATGAACACCGGCGTCGTGGTGACGCGCTGCATCCCTGCTGGGACGTGCTTTGGACCGTGCCTGCTTCAAAACACTTTCTACGAAACCATCGCCTTTATAGCTCAGAAATGCAGCGACAAGACAGCAAAGTCATTCATGTTCAGGGTGAGTCAAAACAGCAGGCGGCGGGGTCATGTGGACTTTACGCGAATTTATAACAGCACTATAAAGTGAATATTAAAATATACATTTGGCACTTAAAATTATTGGTGTTTTAGGTCGATCCAGAGGCAATGCGCAATTCAACCCTGGTCCTCTCCTGGCTGAGGCTGGTTCAGGCTGCGCGCAACGGAGAGGAGCAGAACGCAGAGGCCTTTCTGAAAGCGGGTCAGGTGTATGTGCGGGCTACGCGGGACATCCAGCCCGAAGAGGAGTTGTTGGTGTGGTATGACCGAGAGCTGTCTCACCTGCTGGGATTTACAGACATGATAAAAGGACTCAACGGAGGTGAGAGAAAGATTATTTTTTTATTTTCATTTTTACAAGTGCTAAATAGACTTTAATACAATGTAGGTTAAAGAACAACCGTTCAGCGGATAGATGCTTAAAAGCAACTTGCCTATGTTTGTTATCATTCTTCCATCAATGCCAACATTTTATTGCTTTCTTATGGAATAAACAGAATTAACATCTTCCATGAAGGAGAAGTTGAACATTTTATGTGACCCTGAGATGTTAGGCTTATGTATTTATATATTTACTTATATACTTATATATATATATACTTATATATTTGTTGCTTGGGGCAATTTTTTTTATTAAATAGTGGGATTGTAATTCAGAGACTGTGCTGTGAACCTCAGTATTCATTTTTTTTCACCATTCAAAAGCCATCATATTTTATGTGTTGGTGTTGTAAAAAAATGCATGAGCCAAATGTCCCTAAATCATCTTTCCAGTGTAATAGATGTCACATATTTTTTCAATGGGTTCACTGGTTCTTTGTTATATTCTTGAAGGAACTTCCGAGCAGTAACTGTTTCTGCAGTATAAAGCTTTTTTTTATTTGGCGTTGAACTATAACTTTCTCATTTGTTGCAGTGTAAAGAGCATGATTTAAGCTGTATTATGTAAGCCTACTGTAGTAGATAACTAAAAACCTAAAAAAAAAGGGTCAAAGTGCTAGTGGGTTTAATAAAGTGGGAGAGTAATGCATCTGAAAGTGCCTAAAGATGTTGAGATGGGTCATTCATTACCTGAAAGGTCAAAAGGAAACCAATTAATAGAAGTCTGGAAACTCGAGCTGCTTGGTTCAAACTCAGATTACTGTATTCTGTGTATCATTGAAATCATTGGTGACTATCTTTTACTTTAATTTATACCCCTGAGCAAAGCCTGTGTGTATTGAAGCAAAAAGTTTTCAAGAAGAGTTTTGAGAGTCCAGAGGAAGGAACTAAACTAAAGACAGGATGGAGATGTTCCATCATTATTAACTTTCTACATATCTTGAAATATAATAGTACATTGTAACCTATGCGTTACAAGTTACATTTTTGCTTAAAGATGAAATAAAAAAAGTTAATCTTAAGTGACTTTCTTAATGTATAATTTGTCTTTTTGCCTAGAATTTAAATGCGGGAGATGCAACCAGATCTTCAAAAACCAGAATCCTTTCGTGGCTCACTGCAGATTTCTGTGCAGCCAATTGAAGAGTGACATCTGGAGCCACGAGGCCGATGAGCACAAGTACGTGGACACCAAGAGGCCTCACCAGGTGACGGATTTCCACAACATCGCCAGAGACCTGGAGCAGAAAAAGTCCGAGGAGGTGGCGATTCCTTCCAAAAAGAGAAAAGGGGAAGACGCCACAGTCGCCAGATTGCGAAAAACGGTTCTGTTAGAGAAAACAAACATTTCGAATGAGGAAAATGTCGCTCAGCTGAGCAAAAACTGCCACCAGGCTGCAGGTGACCACTCCTCTGCTTCCGAGAAACTGAAAGCTGACAGGGTCAAAGCAGTTCGTGCGCCACGGGGGAGGGCTGATTCAGCTGAGGCTGGGGAAGACAGGGCAGACATTATGCCAAAAAAAAGGGTCGACACATGTTCGGAGGCAGGGGAGGGATCAGGTGTGCTGTCAAGCGGCTTGAGCGCGTTTTCCCTTGTTCTTTCGGGCAGCCATGGGGAGCAGAAAAGCGCTTTTTGCAAACCCAGTAAAAGGAGCGCTCCAGTGGAGCAGCATGGCCATCTGAGCAGCGCTCCTACAGCCCCCTCTAGCCGCCTGGATGAGATCACTGATGCTTTCACCAACAGGACTATTCTGGGATACAACAATATGATGGCATCCAGCATCCTGGGCGACGACCTGCAGACTCTGGCATCTCCTATTCCATTAGGCAACGCTTTCCATTACGCGCCGGAGCTCTGGTCCAGAAACCTTGGCGCCCAGCTGCAAACCACATCCACCCTCACAGTTCTGCCGCCAACTTTTACCTCTTCATTCGGTGTGTCGGTGCAGAACTGGTGCGCCAAATGCAACCTGTCCTTCCGCATGACCTCGGATCTGGTGTTCCACATGCGCTCTCACCACAAAAAGGAGTTCGCGGCAGAGTCTCAGGTGAGGCGGAGGAGGGAGGAGAAACTGACCTGCCCGATTTGTCACGAATACTTCAGAGAGAGACACCACTTGTCAAGACACATGACTTCTCACAATTAGAGAAATGTTTTTATTTAAACTGGAAGACTTTGTTGTTTATAGTGAATGTAGGCAATTGAACACTCGCCCCATCATAATGTGTCCAGTAGATGGCAGCAGAGGGGCGCGTCTATCTTGCTTTGTGTTCTAAGAAGAGTTTAATTGATTACTTTGTGCCTTATTGGATTCAGGAGGCTTTCTGATCCTCAGAAATGCTGATGATTGTTACATATGTCTCATCGCAGTTTGTATTTATTTATCAGCTTTTTCTTTTATGGGTTGGTGGGATTGTACATGAGCTGTTGTCTGAATTATTTAGAAATCAAATGTTATAAAATATTGCCACAAAAAAAGAGTGAGTGAATATATTCATATTTCATAATTGACCGAGACCCAGCTTCACATACTGTAGTTTTGTCTGTTTATATATTGTTAGGAGAAATGGCTCTGAAAATTTTGGCAAAAGTACCTTCTGAATGATGGGCTGAGACATAAAACCAAAAAACATATATATTTTTAGAATAAGTGGTAAGAACAAGAACGAAAGCTTCTGGCCTTGAAGTGTCGTACTTTATAAAAACTTAAGTGTAGAACTTTAAAGAAATCTTTGCATCATCAGTGTATTGCAAGCATTTTCACTTTAATTTTCAAACCAATCAAAGCAGGACATAAGACAAAAAGGCTTTGCCCAGATTACCTGTAAAGAAGAAGCTACAAGAACACCTATAAACTAGTACTTTAAGAAGAGAATGGCATCATTTTGGGCTTGCAGCTTTGGGACTCATTTCTATGTTCATGTGGCTTTAATAGCCTGCATAGTATTTTAAGTTGCACCATACAGTGAAGCTCATGTATATACAAGTTAATTACGCACTATGTCTGTTAATCTTGACCAAAAAATTTCGCGTTAAAACCATTTTTCTTGACTTGGAGAAAATTTTATATGATCTCTCAAAAATAGCACAGCAGAACACTGTTTAAATACAATGTGAGCACCAAGGTAGAAAGAAAAAAATCACAGCTAAAGGAGCCACCTCATTACAGAGTTCTGTTTATTAGTGGGAAAGCAACCTGAAGGAGAAAGCATGGTAATGTGAGGTTCTGTTGAGTTTTGAGGAGGACCCAAATGCAGAGGCAGAAGGGTGAAACTGTTTCTTATAAATTTAATGAATAGGTAGATGGTACAGGAGCATTCATCCAGAAATTACAGGCAAAAAACACACGAATCAAAACTAGGAAATGAACATAAGAATGAAGAGAATCCAGCAATGAGGAACTACATAGGAGGTGTATATATATATATACATACTGTATATATAGAAAGAGAGAGAGAGAGAGAGAGAGAGAGAGAGAGATAGAACAATGAAGGGGCTAATCAGCTGATAAGGAGCAGGTGTGGACAGAATCAACTAAAAAGAGCAAAGGGGAAAGGAAAGGCACACTAGGGGGCAACAAAGTGAGGAAAAACAACCTGATCTATAACTAGAAAAAAACTTACATGAAGCAAAAGGGAAATAAAACTATTGACTACACCTAAAACTAGACCAAGGAATAAATTGGACAAAAAATGCTGAATAGAGATAACTGAAGGAAATAACAAGGGAGAGTAAAACCAAGAATTAAAAGAACGATCTTAATCTTAAGAAACAAAGAATAACATAAAATAAAGCATAACTGATAAGTCCAAAGGAAAACTTAATAGGACCACAAAATAGGACCAAAAAGTACAGAAAGGGCAGAATCATCACAGGTAAATAAGAGGTGCAGATTTTATTTAAAATGCTGGGTGTGATCAGCAATTTCAACTTAACTAACTCAACTTTTTGATTTTCTCCGGGCTGGTGTTTAGAAGAAGATGACATCAGAACACACAATGGGACAGGATGAAGGCCACTATTAAGGAAAACTGCTTTCTCAACAGCTGTGAGGCTGGAACTATAGGATTTGTCTAAAAAAAGTGCTTTATTTGCCTTAACTTGAAGTTTTCTAATATCATTCTGGGAGAACAAACAAAACAGTCCATCTGAAGTCAGAATAACAAAAAGGAAGGTATTAGTTTTCTTAGTATGATTTAAAAATCCAGCATGACTGCCTTTTATGTAATATAGCCGTTGTTACAAAAAACTAGACCAAGCAACCCCTCCACATTTCTAATTTATTTCAACTTTGATGATTAACTCATTCGGTTAAGCACACTTTGAAAGAACAAAAATACTAGAAAAACAACAACAAACAATAGTGAGATAGAAAATCCCTCTGGTTTTCAAACCTGGAATTGTAACATTTAGGCTGAGTTTAACCTTATTGCTCATTCATTAGTCTAACAAAAAAAAAAAAAAAAAAATGTATTAAAACTTTGTTCCGTAAAAGTTCAAAAAATATCCACTGGACTTGGTTTCCAAGATTTGAAGACGTTTCGCCACCTCTCCAGGAAGCTTTCTCAATTCAAATGTCAGACATTTGAAGTCCAGTGGATATTTTTTTTTACTTTTACGGACTGATTATGTCCTGGATGACTGAGAATCTTCATCCGCATTAAAACTTTGTATAACTTAACATCTGATGATTGTATCACAGTCTAGTACTATAAGCATAATTATATGTATTTAAACTCGATTTGTTCAAAAAACGTATATATAATATATAAAAAGCAAGTATTGATGATTGCTTTTAAGTTCAGCCAATAAACTGGGTCCCCTTTCCCACTCTAGGTGCACACTAAACTTGGTTATAGGGTATTGAGTCAGTTAGAGTAGTCTTTATAATAATAATAATTTCTAAATGAAATATTTTTCATTTTTGTTTCGAAAGACAGAATATATTAATACAAATGATTAGGTTATTAAACTCATACTTTTATAATATATAATAAAAAGTCAACTTTTTCCATATATTCAATGCCATTACATCTTTCTCCTTCTGTTCTATCACATACTCTGATATGTTTCAAAAGAATTGGTTTCCAGTTCTTAAGTTATAACATTTTTTTAAAAATATTTCTCTTACTGGATTTATCTATAGATGCAATAGGATAAAATAGCATGTGTCAGTCAGTATATCTGTGCTATACAAAGAAATAATCACAACCTGCATACGTCATGTGTTATGTTTCAGTTAACATGTGTTATGTTAACAGCAGAATTATGTAATTAACAACCAAAGCTTTACTGGTTTGAATTTGTGATTAAAAAATTTACCAGCAATTATATGCAGCTTACTGCCCATTCAGAATCGACTCCAGATTAAGAATCATTAGTAAAACCTATTTTATGTGTATGCAATGACAGCAAATAGATACACATACTACCATAGAAAAAAAGGAACGTTGAAAACAGACCATAAAATAACACATTCAGAGATAGTCCCTTACAAATTTTCAATTTGGGTTTTATTATCTAAAAGGCATATAAACAATAAGTCAATCTTTAATTTTTAAACCAACAGATTTAAACCAGCAGATGATTTTCTCCTTGCTTATGAAAAGCATATAAAAGAAACACTGACAAGTTTATATTTCATACATTTTCTTTACACAGGATGTTTTCTTAGAAGTGCAGCCACAGACTCAAATGATTAGACAGATTAACCAGGAGAAAAAGCTGCTTTTGTACTAATAAATAGTTATTCTTTCTCTGAGCTCCATAACCAGACCATTTTATCCAGTAACATAAAATTCTCCATTGCCCAATAATTGCTTTATTGCTCCCTATAATGTAGCCATAATGCTATAGAAAAGCAAACATTATTCTTGGTTCCCCACTCGCCTTGTTTCGCTTTGGTTTCTGAACATATTAGTCCATTTGAATAAGTCCAGGCTGCTGTGGTTTTCTGGGCTGTAACACATACCTCTCCTGTGAGAATGATTGTAGCTGACATGCAGTTCACTTTCTAAAGGAAGAGTGGAGGCAGATACTTTAAAGAGAATCAGTCAGGAAATAAGAGAAAAAAAACCCACTGTGGATGTGTCGCTGTAGTGAGCCTTAACCCACTTTTAACCCACTTTGAAGCCCTGACATAACACAAACATGATTTATAATAACCTTAATTTCAGCAATTATTGCAGTTCAAATGGCGGCTTTCAAAAAATGGTTATTTCATAGCTGCAGCCCAGTAATACTGAACATATGTGATATATTTTGTTATTTCCTTTAAGATGTGGTAATACAGATATGCACTGTGTCTTTAGACACTTTTAATATGGTCTTCTAAACTCCTTGTTTGATATTCCTTGCAGTTTAGCTGAAAATGAGTATTGTTTAGACGTTGAAAACAACTAGAGCTACTCTACAATATATGATGTTTTTTTTTTTAATGTAATCAATAACAACAATTTTATCAGTTAAACTGCATCATGAACAATATGTTCCTAAAAAGATCATATAGGGAGAAATAGATATAAAAAATAGGAAAACAAGGCAAACAAGGCTTAATATGAAAACCCACCACTATAAATAAACAGAAATGATTACAAAATAAAAGCAAGACTCAGGAAAGGCACACTAACAATTCTAAAAGATGTTAAAAAATATAACAATATAACTGAATTTCATATTAGAAGAAGCACCTGAATTTTTAAACATAATTCATAGAACTGTAGTACCCTTTGTTATAAGATGCTGATAACGTGTTTTAATCACTGCTGTTTTAACAGAGAAAGGTATATTCCACTTTTTTGTGCAAAATTTAAAATTTATTTCTGGAGTGTAAAAATATGGATGTTTTATATACTATCCTGTCATGCTGAGAGTTTCCTTTTCAGTAAATTTATTATCAGATGTTTCACTATTGAGGACAGATGCACTTTTCTGTGTGAAATTCTTCAATGGTACAATTTGCATGGTAAGAAAACTGCTCTTTCACCTTATTCTTCTCTGGATAAAGAAGAGGGGCAATGGTAAGGAGAGAGGTTGTGATGATCTGCAAGCATCTGCAGGCAGGGGAAGAAAAAACGCACTTGGAAATGCCTTTTTGAATGAGCAGGAAAAAGGAAAGTGCACCATGTTTTTGAAGCTTAAGTGAGTGATGTCCTGATGGCTGAAGGCTTGCTTCCTTCACCAACCATTGGTGGGTTTCAGCCCACATCCGTCACATTATTCTCTGGACAGCTGACACCGGAGCCTTTGGTGTGGGGTAATAATAGGTTCAAGGGGACCGCTTCTTCCTGGGGTTTTTGTGTACACTTATGTTAAAACAGTTGATAGAGAAATTTTACACATTTCCAAGAATAAAAACTAGTACTGTTAAAAAAACATTTTTCAATGCAGAGCTACTGGATTAAATAAAGTTTTATTCTAATTCATAAAAGGCAAGTTTTTCATAATTTAAGCAATACAAACACAAAAAAATGATAATGTAAAAAAAAAAATACATCATTTGGATATTGTTACAACAATATTAGATCAATTTTCACATTTATAATGACAAAAGAAAAAAAAACATTGATTAATTTTAACATTCTTGAAGAGCTAAAGGGGAGTTACTTGGTTTGAAGTGCTTTTTTCACATCTTACAGAAAACTTTATTTCTAAAACATGAAGGCAAAATTAAACATATTGTTCTAAGTTATAAAGTAAGCAAATGACCCAAAATCTTTCGCAATGTTTTTTTGCTGAATGAGCTGCCAAATAACTCTGTGCTTCTGTATTCATATACTTAACCTTGTATTATAAGTATTTATACAGCTGGTCTTAAATTTTATTATATTAAAAACACAAACATCAATGTAATTTAATGGGGATTTTAAATGAAAGATCACCAGAAGAAAAAAAAAAAAAAAAAACATCTAAGGGCATCTATACAAAATATGATTTTAGAGGTTTGGTTTTGAGAAATAAATCAGAAAGATGCAATGCACATATGCATTTAGCCATATAAAACTAGCCTTACCCTTCAAAGGTTATAATTAATAAACAGAATGCATTTATTAAAAACAAAGAGCACATCAGACAGGTTGCGGATAAACTGTATAAAGATTTAGAGCAGGATTATGGTATTAAACAATAATTTGTATATTTGAGCATCTCACAGAACACCGTTCATGTAGAAGAATACAATAAACAAAAGTAAATAAATGAACCATGAAAAAATAAATGTAACATGTATGTATTTGATACCAGCACTAAATACTTTAATATTCCATTAATCATCTAATACACAATTAAGTAATTTAATGTTCCATTAAACAATTAAATCCAATTTTCAAATGATTAACTTTAATAATTAAATGTCTTTTTTTTTCTTTTTTTTTTTTACATCCATTTATTTCATATCATTGCAGCAGAGTCATCATGAAATCAGTTTAATCTGACCCATCTAATTGAGTGGAATTAAGGAGGTCTCTTTAGTAAACCCTGACATCTTGTTGCAAGTTAACACAGCAAGTTAAGGCAGTGTCTTTCAGGTTTACTTTCACATTGAGGTCTTTCTCTGAAAATTATTCAATTAACTTCAAGAAACTGATCAAATATATAAAACTGAAACTGGGGTTGAGCAACTCCAGCTTCAATGTCCTTAGCTCGCTCTAAAACTTCCTCTACCAGTTTGCCAGAGAACTCATTGAGGTCTTAGGTGGAGAAATCCGTCATGTTTACACTTAAAAAAAAGTAATTCACAAGATAAATATAGCCTCACCCACTGATTCTGGTCTTTATTATCATATAGCATTTATACAGTTGCCATTCACTGCAAATAATTAGCACCTTTTTTTAAAACTTTGGTTACCTACGTCAAAGTTCTTGCATAGGTTTGATGTTGAGTTTTATGAATAAAGTCCAGTCTCTTTAGGCAAACTAACTTTACATTTCAGTTATACTTGATGGATTTTTGCTAGTGCCTCTGGTGTCCAATCTATGTGTCTCCATGTTGGGATACGATGGATGAAGTATTTTTCTTCTGGCAGTTATTTAAATGTACTTATTAGATCTTTATGTTTAATCGTTAACTAATTGGATTTTAAATCTTAAATAAAAACATACCCAGGAAAAAGATTAGCTTCTGTAAACTACTTGAATGACGTCTAAGTTCAGAGGTAAGTGAAGCGCAGCATCAAGCTGAATGCGTCGATGTTTTCATGGTGACATTGCTGCACAGGAGCCATGAAATAAATCATTATAGTAAATAATTTTACTATTTTATTTGGTTGTTTAAAAGGTAATTATTTCTGTGTTTCATAATTTCTCGGTATATATTCAATCTATGCAAAAGGGTGGCCTATAGGGATGCTTTTCTTCGGCAGAAAGAGGGAACTTGCTCAGAGATGCTGGAAAATGGATTTTGCTAAATAAGGAGCAGTTCTGTAAAGAAACCTTTCAAAGCCTACAATAGACCTAAGAGCAGCGAGAGGAAATTAACCGTAAAGACACGTCCAGAACCAAAATGGGAATCAAAGTCTATTAATGCATTAGAGAGACACATTAAAAGCAAAGACCCATGTCCTAAAAAACTGTGACAAATTGATCTTTAGAAATGTTTTCCATCCAATCTGATAAATTTGAGTTGTTTTACTAAGAAAAATAGGCGAAAATGTATGTCTTTTATGGTGCTGGGCCAATAGAAACCTTAAGCTCTTATTTAAGAGGGATGAATACAAATACCACACTTTGTATTTTTTAAATAAAAAAAAATTAAACCACCTATACTTGTATTTACACTTGAGAAATATAAAAACAACTCTGTAAATAAACACAACTAATTACAAATTGAAGGCCTGACTAAAGCAAGAGATGTTAGATGTTATTTAAAATATAAAATATGATAAAGTCTGTGGTTTCAATGTGAAAGTAAATAAAATATTTAAACAGATATGGATACTTCTGCACTGCATGGTGAGAAACAACCATTAACTCCAGATGAGCAGTCTAACGACTACCTGTTATGGAAAGGAAAATATCCCTAAAATGCTCTCATCTACAGAAAACCTAAATAAAATCACATTAGATGACTGTTTAGAGATCCATAACACTTACACTACATATATTTGTCCTGCAAGGGCAAAAAGCATGACAAATTAAGCTCTGCTCGCCTCCATTCCTGAGGAAATATATTTGGACTGAGTGACTTTGTCTCATAGCATCAGGGGAACAGTTAACTGATGCACAATTCTGTTGCTTTTGAATTTGTTTTCAGTCCTCCCTTTTTTTTGTTCTTCCCTCCACAATGCCCTATCGGCAGGAGCAGGACTGGACGGACATGTTGGGGTAAACCTTCAGCACTAGGTTCCTGGAGTCGTCCTGGAAGAGCACAGCGAGGGGGCTCATGTTTTCTGGGACACAACAGGGCTCTGGAATCCCAGGGATGATTCCTACAGCTCGCACTATACTCTGTATTGTGGCGTGGTTAGACGGCTTGACAACCTGGTAAAGTTTGAGGAAAGAAAAAAAAATGTGATCAGAATGGAAGGTTTTGAAAAGGACAGTTCAAGACCTTAGAAGTGTTTAGTCATACCTGCGGCATGGGAAACCCACATGCCCCAGCACAGTAGTAGGCATCAAATGACGTGGGTGCAATGACCCATTCACTCCAGCCAATATCAGCAAAATCTACTCGGAGGTTCCTCCTGGAACAGCGCCGGTCGTGGCCCCACTGCCGTCTCCTGGCCTTCCGCATTGTTTGCTCATCAAAACTCAGTAAAGATGACCGGGTGTTTTCCCTCTGTCTTCCTCCATTCTTTCTCTCAGTAATCCGATCACTCCTCTGTCTGTCACCAGCAGAAAGCGTAGGACCATCTTTGAGGGTTTTATTAGATGAACCATCGGTTTCGATCGGCTGCGCTGTTCTTTCTTCTTCTTCCATGGTTGGAGGTTTCGCTTTGTCTTGCTCTTCTCCTCCTGTCTTTTGGTTTTTACTAATCCTTTCCTTCCTCTCTGGTTTAAACTTCGGCTTCAGAGCAAGGTGCCAGTTAAGCTCCCACAGGTCATCTTTTCTGTGTCCACGGGGCCCGTAGTCGAGCTCAGGTAGCTCGTTGTTCTGAATGAGGTCAGCGAGGGGCTTTGCTTCCCTTCTTATGCGACCCTTCAGTTTAGGTGAGGAATTAGACCTGTGCAGGAGTTCTGCTCCCTCGCTGACTGGGTCGTACCTTTGAAGGCTGGAAGCAACACTGTTAGGCTCTGTTAAAGCTACGTCATTAGCATACAGCAACAGGTAGGGCATGCTGACAGCAGGTAAAATACCTTCTTGTTTCTTATGCTGCGGCACTCCAAAGTCCAATTCCACTGAAACCAAGAACTGACCCCTGTCTCGAGCTTCCTTTATTATTGGGGTCACATCTTTCATCTGCCACACCCCTCTCCTGTGGGGGTAAAAGGTCACATTACCTAAAGATGAGCCCACCGGCCCACGTCTGACCTCCGGCCCAGAGGAGTGAAACAGCAAAATAATGGAGGGAGAAGGGTGTGTGGATTGGGAGCGGCATGACAGGCTCCTGAAGCGCTTACAGAACCAGGGTTTGCTTTGTGAGTTCTTATCTAGCAGGAAATGGAATGTTGCAGAGAGGATGGCCTCTGAATCCTGAAGGGTTGTTAGGTTGAGTTTGAAAATGGTCCTGTGATCAGCAGCGTCTGTAGAAATATGAATGCATGTTCAGAATTAAGCAGAACTCTACCTACTGTATATATGTGGAATAGGTAAGAGCCACATCTTTTAAATCATTTATTAGTTGATTATATTTCTTATGGGATGTAGAACTGCAGATCGATACAATCACTTCCAGCTTTGTCTCTGATGTTTGTGTCACTGAAATAACAGCACAGACTTAAGGTAAAGTATTAATACGGAATCTGAATTTCATCAAAAATTAAAAAACAACTTTGTGGTTCTAAATCCGTTCAATTACAGTTATTACTGTTACTAACAAAAATAATCTAAATGTCTAATTTTCCCTCGAGACTTTCTTGCTTTCTTAAAATGAAAACTTAAATGTGTTTAAAATCAGTTCTCTTTCACTATCTGCAGTTTAGAAATGCTGTGATATAAGCAAGAACAGGGCAAAATGAAACAGATGTAAATAAGCTGGGAAAGGCTAGTTTACAAACAATAATGACATAATCCATAGGCTCACTTGGGAATTAAAAAATAATCTTCTTTTCAGACAAAATAGGATAAATGAACAGGTAGTTCATATAGTAGATGCAACATTAGTTAATCTATTTGAACTCTGTATGTATATCTATGTACTCATCTTAAAGGAGAAGTTCACTTTATAAGGGGTAGCAGCAAATCATTTTCCATTTGAATGCTTTTGACGTGATTCTGTACCATCACAGTAGAACTTTTGCAAATTAGCCAAGATAAGTTAAAAAAAATTATGGTAATTTTTTTTCATGAGTAAATTGTAACAGTAATCACAAGATCAAAGTAAAAGAAATAATAAAAAAATTAAGTGTCCAGAATGGGCTATGGCAATCAGAGGATGAACTTTGTTTGAACTCAGCTATTTGAGCTTCTGTGAAAGAAGAGGTACCAGATGTAAATGGAATGGGTTTAGAAAAGGCAAACCTTTGAGCCAAAAGTACTTATGTGTGGTTAACCTCCCCTAAAAATAGGACAAAGGCGTTTCCTTACGTTGTTTCACGACAGGACTCTTAAACAGTTCAGCAGCTCATTGGTAGAACCTCTAAGAAGGTGTGCCCTTAAGAGGAACCAGACTTCGGAAAGCAGAAAGTTGCATATTCATGATCAACATTAACTTCAACAGCAGAGTTATTGTTCATTGTGTGGGAGTTCAGCGGAAGTAAGTTGAGCGAAAAGATATACATTACTCTGCATTCAGTCTGCATATGGAAGTGCTTACTCCCCGTTTCAGTTAAAGCTTCCCTTTAAGCATGATACAACTGGCTCAGTCACTGTGATATAATCAAACTTTTTTCAGCAGGTCTCACACCATTTTGAAAAGTCTCTCAGATGTCTCCTTGGATTACATCAAGCCTCTGTAATGAAAATACACACATGTTGTGATATGCTATCTGAGATCTATGAATGGTATAAATTTTGAGCTGCATTAATAACAACAGCATCAGACAGAGAGGAAAGACTCCACATTAAGGCCCCTTATTTTAGGATGTGGAGTCAGGCTTTCCCCTCAGGACCAACTAACTAAAACACAGAAGCCACGGCAGTGACCTTTCTCTGCATATGTCTGCCTGCCTTTGACTGATTTCTAATGTATTGTATTTTACAGCACATGGCTCACATGCATTCTTGGGCGTCTGTCTGGGGTAATTGATCGAACCCTGCCTGCAAGTGGCGCCGCTGCTTCCAGAGCCCCAATGAACTCACAGCATTCTGAAAGTATTTAAATGCATTCTCAGACTGATCCTAAACAATCTTAGCTATTTACAGAGCGGAGACATCCTGAGATTGTATGAGGCCCCGATTTGATTTGGTGTCCTGGTTCAATTTAAAATAATTTACTTAATAAATATTGTAAATAAATTCTAAGCTCATGTTGGTCAAACAGTTGTTTCAAGAGTAAAGCTCCAAGATGTGGATTTAGCAGTGAGAAGAGGTAACAATTTTATACATTTATTGAACGCAAAACTTATAAAAAAAAATCAAGTCTTCAAAAAAGCAATCTCAAGATGGTTTTTTTAGATGCCCCTATATTTAGCCAGCCAATCAGACATTTACAGTCCTTCTTTTCCATAGATGGACCCCAGAAGGAGTAGTCTTTACTCTGGTAGAGACTAATGGAGATCCTTCAATAAATAAATAAATAAATAGATCTTAGTGACCATGATGAAAAAGTTGACAAAAAGTGAAAAAAAAAAATAAAAATAGGAAAATGGAAAAGAATTGGAAAACAGTGTGCTACTCTCAACCAATATTATTTTCTCGATTTTTGACAAATATATTGCAATTGGTGTAGCTTTAATGCTACAAAACTAGCATCAAAACTATTGTCTAGTTCCATAAAATGTAACACAAGAACATGCAGAAATGATTCACTGCAGCAATGACTTATGACTGTTGCAGCATTCAGCACCTTACTTCACTTATGCCTTGGGCTGGCTGAGTGTCTGCATCTGTAAATATTAAATAATAGAGATAACTGGAGGAATTTCTTATCCTGAACATTTTTTTTTTTAATTTGTTGTTGTTGTCTGTGTTGAAATAATCCAATTCATTTTACAACATAAATCATATACTGCTGAACAACCGGCTTAATTAAAGGATTTGGGTGCGCATGCCTCATGCAGGAGAGCGCGTTTACACACCTAGGATGGCTCTGAAACTCCTGATAGTGTTTCCTTCCTTCAGGCGGTTCTCCCTGTTGTATTTCTCGTACAGTCTGTGCATATGCCGGGAGAGCATGTCCTCATCCAGGTAACCAGAGAGCTTGAGGAAGCCGCTGTCTCCGGTAACCGATGCAGAGGTAATGACGCAGATCAGCGTCAGCAGAAACAGGTGCGATGAAATCATGATCGGTACAGCCATGTAAGTACCGAAAGAGATCCAGAACAAAACAAAGAGAAAAAAAGAAAGCAGAGAAATGTCCAAACAAATCCAATCCAAGCTGTGCGCAACCTTCCCCTGTGCGCTCCGTTTGCGCTCTCCCTCCTCTGCAGAACTGTGTGGGACCTGGATGCTGAATGGGTTGGCCCGGACAGCACTTTGGGCTGGTACTTGCACACCACTGAGATCGCCAGAGGCTTGAAGGGGGATGATAGTATTGGAGCGGCAAGAGGCGATGACGCACAATCCTGTCAGCCAACAGGGCCTCTGCAGAGTCAAGAGTGGAGGTCATAAAACTGACCCCTTCTCTCCCTGCCAGTGATGTTAAACAATATGTTTGCGTGCAGCTTTGATTACTTTTTAAAAAACTTTAACCCATTTAAGTAACTGAACATTTTTTCCTCTCCTGGGGAAAGTAATTCTACCTCATCATTTCCAGCTCGCCACATTATTTTCAGTAACTGCTTTTGACAAGGTCTCAGTCACACATAATTAGCATAGAAACACTCACAATAATAGCCTGACCAACATTCAGAGGGCTATTGTTAGAACAGGGCTCCACATTGTGTACAGTGTGGAACGTGTGCGTTACTTTCTTGGTGGTACTGAATTTATTCATTGCAAATAGCCCACTGGTTTCAAACTTGTAACACTTTGGTCTGTGCTGCGTGTATTTCTGTATGTTTGGGTTCGCAGTGTGTTTCCTCTGGTGTCTGGGCTTCTGTACCAACAATGCCTGTTTTGTGGAAGTGCTGGTCTCCAGCAGAGAGGCTGTAACTAGCTGGGCCTCTCAGGTCTCTCTTCACACACATTGTGAATCTGTGCATGCACCCCCACACACACTACTCCGTACCTTTCCGGCCCTCAAGAGCCAAGCAGAATACTCCTTTTCTCTACGTTCCACACCAGCAAACAGCTCTTGAATCTGGACCTCTTTTTAGACATCGATGCGTGTTTGTGTGTCCATGCTGACTGAAGTGGCATGCTTTACGGTTTCTTCATACCACACAAACACATCAACTTGCCTCTTCCCATATGGTATTGACACTCTGATGAAACAAAAACCATGATTAACTGCTGTGGTTGTTTTACTGAATACATGCAATTATGTTTGCTCTTTAGGAGAGGTTTATTCTTTGAAAATCATTTATGAAAAATATGATAACAGTGACCCCTCCTAGATTAAAAGTTGTGGCTTTACAATATTGAAAAATATGGCTTTGTTTATCTGGAAGCTTTTATATTTAAAAACTGAAAAGTGGTTGCCCAACAACAAGCTGATATTTTGTGATACAATGAAGCCATAAAACACTGCGCTGTCTTGTCGCTCTACTCTCAGAAAACAGTAATAAACAAAGAGGCTCAGAGAAGAAAATAGGTTCAACATTTTAAAGAGATGCAGCATGTGTGAGCAAAATAAGAAAAATTAATGTGTGAAGAAGAGGGTGCAAAATATCAACTTACTCTAACTGTAAATATGCACAATGTCCATTGATGTAAACAGTTATAGACCGAATGCTTTGGGAAAAGTATTTACTTTCTTTAAACATTTTCTATTCTGTTATATATCACAACCACAAGCTTAAGGGTATTCTGTTGGAATTTTTGGTATGATGTTACAGAAGTGTTGCGTAATTATGAAGTGGATTTGTCAGGATTGGGTCGAGGTTTGTGGACCGAAATGCAGAGGCAGGGAGGCAGAGGTGAGTTTCTTGTTGATTTAATGGAGGTAAACAGACAGCTGAGGCAGGAATCCAAAAATCTAACATGAAAACAAAGTCAAACAAACCAGAAACCATGGAGACATCTGGGGGTAAACAATCACGAGGAGGTAGACTAAGTGAGATGGAATTGGAGGAAGTTAGAAGGGAAGTTAGACGAGGAACCAGCACTAAGGAACTGCATAAGGGGTGCATTTATGGTAGACTGAAGCAAAGAGAGGACTAACGAGCAGATTGGGAGCAGGTGTGGACAGAGCAGACAGGAAAAGAACTAGGGAACGAGGAGAACACAAGAGGGCAGCAGAGGGCAACAAATAAAAACCTGAAAACTGAACATAACCAGAGAAGACAACAAAATAAGAAATAAATAATTAAAGCTAGAAAACATGGAGCAAAGTAAAACTGAACACTCAAAAGAAAACATCACAGAACCAAGACTGTGACAGGATGGAATATGATGAATGTTTTTTTGTTTTTTGTTTTTTTGCATTTTTAAATCGGAAGAACTATGAGGTGAACCCTTTTTACTTGATACACCCAAAACGACCTTAGTGCAAAAAGCTTAATTTATTGAAATTAGCAAACTTTCACTGAGGAAGCTGGTCAGAACTGATCAAAATCTAGTGGGAGTGGGAGTGGTGGCCCAGTGTTTAGGACATTGCTCTTGGAATCCAGAGGTTCTGAGTTCAAGCCCCACTCCTACATGTATACTGCCACTCTGGGTGCCAGAGCAAAGACCCTTAACCCCACACTGCTCCCTGGGTGCTGCACAATGGCAGCCCACTGCTCCCCAAGGAGATGGTTTAAATGCAGAGAGTGAATTTATCCAGTGTGAGATCAATACAGTTCAATTACAACCACAGAAACATCAAATGTTTTTTTATTTTTTTATTTTACAAATATGACTAACACGACATAGTACATAACTTTGAATGGGAAGGAAAAGCCTTCATGGTTCTAAAATCATGGTTAAAAACTCTTCTAAAAAAAATTTTAATCAAAACATTTTCAAAGAGTTTGGAATATTTTTGTATTCCTTAGACCGGGGGTCTGCAACAGGGGGTCCGCGACCACAGAGGGGGTCCACAGAGGTACTGCATGGGGATCTCGAAAGTTTTGGTTGCTTAGACTTTTTTTTATATTCCCCCCTGCAATTTTTTTCCACTAACTGCAATGTCTTTAAATACACATTAACATGACTTCAACATTTGGCTGGGTATGTTTCTGCCAATACAGACAAAAAGGTGTTTGAATTTGTTTACAAGACTTTAATTTTTACTGATATTGGTTGTACTGTTATCATGGTCAGGAAACACAGGAGTGTTTTTTAGCCTCCTTGTTTAGTATGCTTCAAGACTTTTTGAAATTGCCCTGCGGTGCTTTTATCAATTTAGCAAAATAATATCTGTTCCCCTTTCTGATAGTATGCATAGGTTTATTTCTGTAATTAAAATAGGCAATGTTATTATAATAAATAGGGTTATTTTTTTATATAATTTATTTGTATGATAGATTTAATGATTTTAATATGCCCTTAGTGATCCATTGGTATTGATTAAATGTGCTGCATGTGATAATTTTCTCAGGGATAGTCCTTTGAAAGCAGTAATATCTGTCTTTAGTTAAACTCTTAAACACAGCATCACTATAATTGCATATTCTGTAACATGCTGTGGTCGCGTATTCTGTAACAGGTCCTCATGTATTATGGTTTGTTTATTTAATATTTTTAAATAGATGATGAGTGGATGAACACATAGGAAGTAGGGCAATAAATAATTCAATGTGGAAGTGATTAGAAATCTCAGAGACTTCACTTCCAGATGTGTTGAAGTTTAGAGTTTTAAATATTTGACTAAGTTGAGTGAGTGATTATTCATATAAATATTAATCATGAAAAAGGAGAATGAGTTTAATGTATTTATAAAATCATTCTGAGCTGCATTATGCCAGGTCAGTACTGAATTCTCCGAGGAGGATACATCATTTGTTATTGTTTTTTATAAAAAAAAAAAAAAAATTTTCTCCAGTTTGGCCCTTAAGATTTTAAAATCAGCCCCTGGAGAAGTGTTAAAAAGTGGAGAGTTTAAAAAGTTATTGCCTGTTTTTACCACTTAATTCTACAAAAAAGCAGTCACTGTGCTTGCCTGCTATGACAATGAAATCACAAATGTTCACATTGTATGTAGAGGAAATATAAAGGCTCATGCCACCACTAGATGTACAACGTCTATTCTTGGTAAAAATATTATAGCCATTAATATTTAAGACTACAATCACTATAACCATTACATCAAAGTTGCAGTCTGTATTTTTAAGCAGAATGTCGAGTACATGCATGGATGGAATGACTTAAGCATTCTGGGATACATGGTTCATCATTAAATGGCCAGATGAATTGAAAATCACTGCCCACTTATCTTTCCAGCAGCACTGAACATCCCACCTGTTCTCTCTGACTCCCCACACTCTGCTACAGTTTTTTCAACACCGAGGTCCTTTCGTAGAGCTGTCCAAACTAAACAGTTGTTTTGTTCTTCTTGGGGATGGAGAGCTGTGAGGAATTGACCTTCCACTATGTCTGAGAGTGTTTGTGTTGTACAAGAAGAGCTGGTTCTGGGATGGACCTTTGTTTCACACCTTTACAATTTTTAGTTAAGACTTTGCAATTAGGACTAAGCATGCGTGTTAGATGTTTGTGGGCAAACCCTTCACATATGGGGTCAGTTTTTCCTCTAGTCATATAACATATGCTTTAATCCCAATACAAGAGAAATGATAGCTTCAGTTCTTTCCTTCAAACTTACTTACTCTATTACTTTTTCATACAATACCACAACTCATCACTCGGCACCCTGTCATATGCTTTTCCTCGGCCTACAAAAACCCAATGTAGCACCCTTTTAATTTTCCAGTACACTGCAAAAAATAGAAATCTAAATAAGTATTTTTTTCTTAAAATAAGTGCATTTTTTTCATGAATTGAGGAATAAGGTGAGACACATTGCCAATGGAACAAGACAAGTTACATTTAGAATAAGAAAAAAACAATTTCATTGTCTTATTTCAAGTGCATATTATCTAATTATCTTATTTTAAGAGTAAAAATACCCATTCAATTGAAAATTATCTTATTTACTTATTCAAATATAGGTTAAATAGACTTAATTTAAGATATTTGAACTTCTTTCCAGATCGTTTTTGCAGCATACTCCTCCATCCCCATTCTCACACTGCATCTGTAGTACTTTATGTTGTAATAAAATTTTACTACTGCTCAAAGATGCTCACGTCTGACCCCACTTTAACTTCCACTGCCCTTTCCCATAACTTCATTGTATGACTCATCAACTTATCCTCTTTAGATACCTCAACTCTGCACATCTCTTGTGTTTTCGTTGGCTCAACTATCCTCAGTTACTTCTACCTGCTCTCTTAGATCTCATTGATCATGTTACACTTGCAGGAGAAAAATATACAAGCTCCA